ATGGTATAGTACAATAGACAAGAGTGGAAACATAAAGTTCCTTCATGGAAGTGTTTCACAGTTTAATGCATGAAAACAATAAAGTAGTTAACTCTAAAAATAAAGTATACATATGTGCTGAGAGACAGGAATTCTCAGGAAACTCTGAAAGCAGAAAAATGCACTAAATCCATCCTTGGGAGTGGAAAAGAATGACAAGGGGTAAAAAGGGAGGAGTAGATACCTCAGAAGTCTTCAAGAAGTAACCATATTGTTGAATCTGTGGAACTAGTACAAATCAAGTAAAGAAATGTGGGAAGCTCCATTCTGGACAGAATGCATACCCCAGGAAGAAAGAGCCTGAGAAATTACAGAATCTGCAGAATGCTACTTCATAAATGGACCTGATTTTGTGCTCTGATATAGTTATTGTGCCTTGAACAGGGTAAGTGCAATACCCTAAGTGACTGGATAGTGAATTCAATCACTGATTAACAAACTTTGTTGAATATTGATGCAAAGGCAATTTTAAAAATGCAAAAGTAGGAAGGAGGTTTTTCGGGAGGATTTTGCTTTAGTACCAGTAAAATATCCCAGACAATTAGACAAGAGCAGACTCGTCTGAAGTAGAGGAACCTGAGAGAATATGAGGCATATTTTGGAAGTATAATAGAAAGCACTTTGTGTTTAGGAGAAGGAATGGATGAAAAGAGGACTCCTATGTGTTTAATGGTATCCAGAGAGTTGTGTTCCCTGCAAATCTAATGATGGAAATAGGGATGATGACAAATTCAAATAAGCAGTAGTTATGGAGCTTTAATACTTAACATTGAAGTACTTAACTGATGCCAATATTTCTTCTAATCTTGCTATCATTTGTATCAAAAGGCAAAGAAATACAAGTCAATATTTTGCTTATTTTAGCAAGCTCTACAAAAAATTTAAGGACAATAATTATATTTCTTAGTGACGTAGTCAAGATTTTCATTTTCAACTTTATGCTTAGATTGTTTGAATATTTCATATAATTACAAGGTGGTAGCATTTTACACAATAGATATATTTCTGAAACTCTTGCTTAACACTTGCAAAATCCAAGAGCACAGCTAGTATTTCTGTTTCACACCCATAGTGGTAATCCTTTCAGGCAATAGCACAAACACAACATCAACACCATAATTTTCAAAAAATAATGTTTTAAAATTGAGAAACACAGACTTTTAAAGTATCTTGTACTAAAAATTCATAAATTTCAAAGAACATAAAGTGTAACCACAGTGTACCTTTTCAGAAAAAATTTGTTTTTGATTTTTGTTCAACTGTGTGTCTGACTAGGACACAAACTTTTGTTTTTGGTTTGTGAGGTTTTTTTCCCATTAAATTTATTGGTACATTTTAGGTATACAATACAGTTTCATTCATCATCGGGATCTTGTACCTTTACATGATGTATCTTGGTTCTTATTTTTCCCCATTCCCCTGCCCTCCCTTCACCCCCTCCACCCTTTCCTATTTACAAAGACTTCTTTTCCATTTTTTCCTTGTCTCATATTTTTTCTTTTTCTTTCTTTCCTTTCCCCTACATCTCCCACTTCCCCTGCTCCTTTAGACCTTTTCTTGCTATTACACAATATCAATTATACATTTTGATCCTTATTTACACTTTTTCTTTTTCACACCACAGAAACTATTTGGTATTTACACATGTCCTATTTATTTCACTTAAGAGTATCTTCTCCATTCACATAAGGCGTTTTTGCTGAAAGTATGGAGTACATGTCTTTGATCTGTTCAGAAGGTTCTGTTCTACTTCTAGTCTCCTGATAGCTTTTACCATGAACAGCTGTGGAATTTAGTCCAACATTTTTTCTCCAACTACTGACAGGATCATATGGCTTTTTCCTTTCCTGTGTTAAAATGATGACTTCTGGGGGTGGATCTTCCAATGCTGAACCAACACTGCCATCCCTATAAAAAAAAACACTTTCTACATACTGCTAGATCAGACTTCTAATAGTTTG